ATATTATTATGATGAAATTTCATATGAATATTACGCAAACGTATTATTGTAACCAGGAAAAAAATTTAACTGCTCAACTCATTGCTTAAAATATACAGAAATATATTTTGTAGTATTTGATACATAATTTATATATTTATACTTCTGTTGAATTGGTTTACAAAAAAAAATTTGCAGAGTAACCATCAAGGCATAATATTATAACTATTATTACTCCTACTGGACACCTACTATATTGTTGTTTTGTGAATCACATAGGTCGAACATATACTTTCAAGCCATTTTTTTTCATGTACATTATTATACCCATCATAATAATTTAATTATTTGACCAGTTGTTGAAAAATAATCGTTTTTGTCGCAATGACTTCGCAAACGTTTCAACAGTCGGTGCGCTGCACATCACARTTAATTAATGAGGCGACGGCGACCAACAACGAAAATAAACACACAGACAAATTATAGATAGCATAAATTATGCATTTACGCAATTGAAAGAATAAATTATAGCGACGAATGTATAGTATAGTAAAACATTAAATTAAACAAACAGTGAAGACTGTTCTCGGAAAAAATAGTTTTAATGTGATCTGCAGCCATTTATATTGGTTTAAGCCTTAAGGTATTTGAAAATAATCTAAGCTCACTGCAGTGCATAGTATTATACTAAACAATCGCGTGCATCTACTTGAAGGAAATCAATGAAAAGTAAAATATTATATTAGTGCACACACGAGTATTCCCTTACCGTGAGAGATATCTAACTGAATAACTCGAAATATCGGATACTTTTATCCTTATACAGGCTTTTTCGATATAACAAAGTTGTAGATTTCACAGTACATTCTTACGTAAAATTATAAAAAATACCAATAACTCCAAGATAATATAAAATCCTTTAAAGTTATAGAGATCTCGTGTTAATATTATATGGATATAATTGTTAACAAAATATTTTTTTTTTACATAATTATATTTTGGGCTGRGTACACATTTTTTTGATTCTGACCGATTTTTCGTGTGGTTTTCGTTGTCATGACCTACTTATTAATAAAAACATACATTTTATGATTCACTGATTTTCCTTGTAAAGGGAAAATATCGAATATCGTGCTGTGGGTTTTATAGTGGGATTGGAATTTTATAGTGAATAATATAATAATATCCCTATGATTTTGATACCTGAGGCATATTTACGTATAGGTACAAGATATGCGTATGTAATATGTATATCACCGAACTTTTAA